TGAGTACACGTAGGACTGTGGGGGTCATGGCTCAGATGTTTGGAAATCCTCTCAGAGAGGGGTCATCTGGGCCACCAGCTGAAGACAGGAGGGATTTCAGGCTTTGAAATCGCCAATAAATTTCTGGGCACGTGACATTTTCAAGCAGGACTTTGAGAAAGCCTTTGTGACAACAGCCACTTTGAGGTGGTAGTTTTGATATGGGATCACTTTGATGGAAGGGTTTGACTACCTGCTTCAAAGAAAATGACTCACTGATACACAAAGCCGGCAGCCTCTTCCTTCCCTGAGTGGGGCGGGGAACAGGGAGGAGTGGGTCTGGAGGCAGTGAGCTGAGGCTGGGGGCTAGCCATATCCGGCAGACAAATCGACTGTGGCCAAGAGTCCCGTAACTGCCACACTTGCCCCTTGGAAAGGACCCTGAGTGTCCCAAGCGGACCATCTATTCACGCTCTAAGAATTGGCTGTCATCTTGAATGGATGACGTCCTACATCCTCTATTTTTTTCAAGTGAAAAGACCTATGTGTGTCCTGGGGTTCAGGGGGTGGTATTTAAACCACAACAGTACCCTTTATTCTTGATTCTGGGCTGCACAGGAAGTACTCAATTAGATGTGCGAGAGTTGTCTTAGAACTCTGAGTAATGCACAGACGTTGTGTTGAATATCACAAAAGTCCCTTTGAACAGTGGTTTGGGGACAGGGCTAAGAACCTGTGAGCCTAATTCTGACAGACTTTTAATAATTTTAAATTTTTTAAATTGTAAAAGCGACATTGGAAGCCATAGATACTCAAAAACGGCAAATAAATTAACAAAACAGAAATTTGTTTTGCCATCTGTGTGGTGGTTTTCCCAGGCTGTTTCCCAAAGCCTGCAGGATCAGAATCTCCCCAGCGCCACCCCCTTCATTATGCCACTTCATCCTCAAGGTGACTTTGGGTCACCTGGCAGAAAGTGAGACAGAGTTCACCTGGCTAGCAGCTGGCCACCACCTCGCTGCTACAGCTCCTTTGCCAGCTGCATGTGTCCCAGGCCCTAATGGGAGCCCAAGCACTGGACCCCCTTGGAGTTCGCTGTCCAGGCCCAGGCAGGATTCTGGGTGTAGCCTGTCCTCTGGGGAAGAGAGGGGATGCAGCAGGTAGCTGGTTTAGTTAGTTGCTGTTGCCACTGTTAACTGTCCTTATGTTACCACAAAGGCCAGTAAGACTCAGTCATATAGTGTAGACAGGAAATACCTCTTTCTCCCTCTCCCCCAAGTCCTGGTCCCCCAGGCTAACCCTCGATCTAGTGGATGTGTCAGATGCATGTGTCTGCAAACATGTATGCTCATGTCTGTGTATACGGCCCCAGGATGTGGGTGGATGGCTCCCCCACTCCTGCCCCGTCAGTGGGCCCAGCTCTGACCTCATTCAGACTGGCAGGCAGGCTGCACTGTAGCAGCCCTCTGTAGAGGCCTCCTGGTCATGGAGCTGGAGGACAGCTGCCCATAGGAGGAAGCTGGCTCCTTCATGGCCACGCCCTCCTGACCCTGGCCAACCTCTCAGTGGCTCTGTGGCATGTCCACCTGCTGAAGGGCACTGGAGCATTTGGATGCAGCTTATGCCTGACTCACCCTCCAGCACCTGGCACGTCGTGGGCACTCAGCAAAAGTTAGGACTAATGAGAGCTGGGTGGAGCTGCATTGCCACCAGGACGTCTGGCTCCTGGCGTGAGGGCCCGAGGGCAAGGCGGGGTATATGACAGGGAGGGAGGGGAAGGGCTCCTTAGTCTGCATCTTGTGGGCTCTTCCTCCATCAGCAGGTGGCGCTGTCCCCCGTGGTCTTGTCCCCCCAGGCCCTAGCTGCAAACTAGGTGGCCCTGTTCAGCGGTCCCCAACCTTTCTGGCACCAAAGACCAGTGCTCCTATGAGAATCTAATGCCTGATGACCTGAAGTGGAGCTGAGGCGGAGATGCTAGTGCTGGGGAGTGGATGCAAAAACAGATGAAGCCTCACTCGCTCTCCCACTGCTTACCTCCTGTTGTGCAGCCTGGTTCCTAACAGACCGCAGACTAGTACCTGGTCTGCAGCCTGTGGGTCGGGGACCTCTACCCCTGCTGATGCCTGGCTCCCCACCCCTGCTTTTCCAGGAAGCTGGTGGAGAGGTTCTCCGTGTCTCTGCAGGTCCTCCCCTCAGTACATCCAGGAGAGACTGTGTTTCTGCCCAGGCATTGCCCCCTGCCTTGTGTCCTAGACTGTTCACGCCTGAAGCCACGTAACCACCTGGAAGGGCTGTTCCTCAGGTACGTGTAGGCGAGTCCTTTCTTCACAAAGCCCAGTGATCAGGACACCCCAGAGGGGTATGTCCAAAGCTGTGTTTCGGCCCATTTGGGTATGTCAGCTTTTAGGGATGTAGATGAACTAGTCACACATGGCTACTTAGGGTATTTAATTTACTAATTTATATACATCTTTTAAAAGTTTCAAAAAGTTTACTTTAAAAAGTTTGACATTTCAGCAAACATTAGACTGTGTATTTACATATTCATACTGCCTTTTCCTCCCCCACACCCTAGTTTCATGGGATATCTTCAGTCACATTCATCCTACATGCCTTTGGGGTTATGTCTTCATCAACACTGGGCCCGCTTTCTGGGCCATCCAGCAGTTTTCCCGAGCACGTCATCGTCACTTCCATCTGCTCTTTCAAGACACTGTGTGACACTGAAAAGTTTGTCGCCAGCCATGAGCACACTCTGTATAACATTAGGACAGCTCATTTCTCTTCTCTCGGGAAGTAAATTCACAATTATTATCATATAACCACAGACTATGTTGCTTAGGAGGAGTTTAAAGAAAATTTTATCATTGTAATTGTGACGTTATCCATCTGAGAATAAGACAGAGAGAGAGAAAACCCACAGGATTCAGCACAGTGGCTGTGTTCTGGGTGCTTGTACAGGTCAGCGAGGGCAGGAGCAGAGGCCAGCCCAGGGGAGCACAGAGGTCGGGATGCTTCTGTGACCTCTTCGCCCACGTTAGGACTTGAACCCAGGAGTCTTGTTTTGTTTTCCAGCTATTCAGGACTTTCGTATGTCTATTTCATTAATTCTAAATCCACCTTATTTTATAGCAGAAGGATAACATTGTGATGTGTTTCCTTTAAAACTTTATCATAGAAAGTTTCCAGCATACATAGAGGTAGAGAGAACAGTGTGATGCACCTATCATGCCCATCACTCAGCTTCAACAGTTGTCAACTCAGAGCCCATCTTGTTTAATATCTACCCCTGGCCACTGGCATTGTCCCCTTAAGGTTATTTTTAAGAAAACTCCAGATATATGTCATTTAATCTATGCATACTTCAGTGTGTGTCTCTAAAGTAGTGGTCTTTAGGTATAACTTCAACACCATTATTGCACCTGAAAAATGTAGTAATTTTTTAGTATCGTTAGTATTAGTGTTCAGATTTACTTGATTGTCTTACAGATGTTTTTTACATGTTGTTCAAATCCGGATCTAAATAAGGCCCGAGCACTGAAGTTAGTGTAAGGTCCCTGGAGAAATAATATTGAATTTCGTTGGTGCCCAACACATGTAACCAGTGTCCTCGTT